TGAACCGCTTGGACATGCTCAAAGAATACTTTAAACCTCCTTGCTGAAGCAGGACTGTTGTCATACCCTCTTGTGCTGCTTCATGTGGGGAGAAAATCCTCGCATCACCACAAGGAGATGTGCTGATATAGAGATGGAACTGCACATTCTCCTTCAGCTTAAATCCACCTCGCTCTGACTTGATAAAAATGGATTTTTGTTGATCTTCTTTATTGCTGAAAGGGAGAATAAAGCCAGAGTCAAAGCTGATGTGAACACATAAAGAACCATAAGCTGGGCAGTCTTAATAGGCATTAAAAACAACCACAGGGTGTCTGGGAATTTTGTGATATAAAGCTAACAGTTATTACAATTAACAAACTGAAATGACCACTGTGACAGGAAATTGAGAGCCCTTGACACCCCCAGACGTTAAGAGCTTTCAGGCACTTAACAGCAAATGAAACATCACCACCCGTTAGCTCACTTGAGGTTGTTTTGATCTGCATATTTAGAGCTTACAAAATGATTCCACATGATGTTTTCTTTCCTCCTATCTCATGATTGACAGCTATCTGAATACATGTTTTATTCAAGTCAAACCTTAGGGCAAAGAGCTCGAGTTCTAAATGAAACATCCTAACGCAACACAACAAATGGATCACATTGAAATGTTCACGGATGTTGCCCACAGACACCTTTCCAGTTCCATGCGATCAGCTCATCTTCCTTTTCCCTCCAGCTCACCTTAGATAAAGCTCAAGTTGTGTATAGAGAAATTTAAGCAGGCACCGGCGAGATATAATCTCTGCATGGCAATCATTTAATGCAAGACCACGATCACTCATGTATTCACCATTGATGCATTTTGTTCCTGTAGAAACACTTATTACCAGGGCATCTTTCACGTCTGTACCTGCAAAATAAAGTTTCAGGAACAAGATGCAACTAAAATCACAAATAATCCAACAAATCATCTTAGTGCAGAACCTAAACAAGTTAGAAATAGAAAACATGAAGGAAAAAATTGCTGCTTCAGGAAGAGTTATTAAAGCCTGGGCTGTGAAGATGGTGCTTTATTCCTGAGCCCCAGTTAGCTTCTAGCATGTGTCTCCTTGCCACCTGTGCAGATATTCACAGTGACTTTAGATATCTGAAAGTCACTGATTTATTAAAACAGAAGTATGTTATGGAAGTGTATTAAACCAACAACATGAAAGGTAAGAATAGGGAGTGAAGAAGTTTAAATGCTTAAACCACTGTAAATCTTATCAGCAGTATAATGCTTCTAGAAGTGTAGTTCTTGGTATTAAATCATTCCATATTACAGAATAAACAGGAGCTCAGGGAAAGGAACAGAGGGTGTCCCAGGGCAGTGGTGCAGTCACCATCCCTGGAAGTGTTCACACACCACATAGATGAGGCCCTCGGTGCCATGGGTTAGTGGTGACCTTGGCAGTGCTGGGGAATGGTTGGACTTGATGACCTTAAAGGTCTTTTCCAACCTGGTTGATCCTGTGATTCTATGCTCAAAGTTACAGTGTTTGTTTTCTTGCCCTCCTTCCATTTTCTCTCTGTGCCACAGGAGAGAGCAGTTAGCAAGCGGCTGGTGGTTTGACTGCTGGCCAGGATCAGCCCACCATGGATGTCTTATGATAGACTTATCTACCCTAACCAGCACCTCAGACTTCTCTGCTCTGGAAGAAGCCCTTACAGACAGCCCTGCAGGAGGAAAGGGCTGGCATTGCCCAAATCACTATGGGAAGTTATCACTATCCATCTGACTCACACAACTAATTGGGACAGGCTGAGACCTTAGAGCAACTCCCAGTGCCTAAAGGGGCTACAAGAAACCTGAAGAGGGGCTTTGGACAAGAGCCTGTTGTGGCAGGACAAGGGGAATGGCTTTAACCTGCCAGAGGGGAGACTGAGATAAGCTCTTAGGCAGAAGCTCTTCCCTGGGAGGGTGCTGAGGCGCTGGCACAGGTTGCCCAGAGGAGCTGTGGCTGCCTCATCCCTGGCAGTGTTCAAGGCCAGGTTGGACACAGGGGCTTGGAGCAACCTGCTCTAGTGGAAGGTGTCCCTGCCCGTGGCAGGGGGTTGGAGCTGGATGAGCTTTAAGGTCCCTTCCAACCCAAACCATTCCATGATTCTATGACATTTCATGATGGGCCCAAAAGGAATGCCCAGTAAAGGGTTCAGATGGATTGAAGACCAAAAGAAATCTTAGCATGAGAAAAATTCAGCAGCTGAGCGGTCGCAGATCAGCTTAGGGCAGAACTCCACTGGCAGATCTCATGCCAGCAGTCAGAACTACAAAATTCCT